GATTAAGAGGAGAGCAAGACAACCAACATGATTCTGTTTGTGGTCATTCTTTAAAAAGGAGGAGGATAAGGCACGTTTCACTGGAGACTCAGAAACCTTTGGAGGACATAGGAATGCTCATGACTTGCAATAGTAAAACAAAAGTTTATCCATTACCAAACTTTTTCAAGTTACACAGTGAAAACTGATGAATTTTAATATGCTTAGGTATATCACCCAGTAAAGATGGTTCCCCCAAAAGGGAAGCAAGACCCTTAATTAGGCAGTATGTATAAAGTATTTGAAAAGTGCGTTGCAATTTGTAGATTTGTACTTATTATGGATTCCTTGAACCTATTGTGTTGAGGTGATAAAAGAAGTGCACGTTTATAATGAACCTAAAATGAAGATAATTTTAAATGAAAAAAATTAATGGAGCATTCCAAAATAACTTACCTCACATCTTCTTTTCTTAACCACCGTCTCTCCTTAATTTTTGTTTTAACAGAAGTCCATGTAATTCTGGATGGCCTGTTACCTCCTGACACATATTTTAGATTCAATCCTGTCATGTGTGAAAACATACCCCTAGATGAAAGTCGAAATGAAAAGCTGGACCAGCTGCAGCTGGAAGGGATGAAGTATATAGAAAGAAATGAACAAAAGATGAAAAAAGTTGCAAAAATATTAAGTCAAGAAAAAACAACTCTTCAAAAGATCAATGATTGGATAAAACTAAAAAGTGACATGTATGAAGGCCTTCCATTTTTTTCAAAATTGTGAGTAGGATATACATGTGTTCTCAGAAATGAAGGCCATCAGAAGATCTACCAAATTTAGTGAGGAACTGTGCTTCAGCATGAGCTTTCTGTGGGATACTGTGTGAGTTCTGGGAAATCCTGCAACAGGTGATGCTTTGAACAGCTTGAATCTCACAAAGGATGTTTCATTACAGAAGTCATATGGCAATTAAATATTTAAGATGTTCATAACCTTAGGCATTTTATTACTGTGCTAGTTGGTTTTAGTATCTGTTGGTCTTAAATTGTTTGATGTTTGAAAATTTATTAATATATGTGCCAAAAAAGATATGGGAAGTGTTGTATTTTGTGCTTTGCTTTTAGTCATCTCAATCATGTGGAATTTGTATGACAACTGATTTTCTTTTATGTCAAAGCTGATTTCTCTTTGCATTTACACTACTCAACATCTCACTAGGTGCACCCACAGTCCATGTGTTACCTTTACTGTAATATCATTTAAAGAGATGTAGGGAATGGGATTTTCTCTGTTAAAGTACATGTATGTTTAAAATATTAAAGAACCCAATGCAGTTTTCTATTTTAAAAGATTGGTGAATTTCCGGTGAGCTAACTTTCCTCTTGAAACTTGAAGATAATGTTCAATTTCCTAGATCGAATGCTATCTTATCACTTACTATACAGAATCAATTGTTTGATTTTACTGAGAAAATATTCTTATCATTAACAAAAATAAACTATTAAAGTGATCAGCTGTGCAAGGCTAATGCCATTTAAGATTTTTTTATTGCTCATAATGATTGCCCAGTTTCTTGTAGCATTTAGAAAGAAATGTTAGTCCAGTTAGATTTCCTACAGTAATCCTTTTCCTATTAGGGTTTTACCTAAGTCAAAACCTGGTTCTGTAGGCCAATTAAATTATTCTTTGCTGTATTATTTCCTTTGTAAATCTTTAAATTGTGTTGAAATTTCCCACGAAAAATGAAGCCAAGGTGTGTGTCCTTTGCCTTATACACATAAACTAACATCGACCCTGCTACCCATGTTGTCATAGCGTTTGTGGTGCTGGTTCATGGAGTGATGAGACAGCTGAAAGCTGAGGAGTGATGGAGGATGTGGGTGTCAATCTGCTGTCTGCACAGCAGCCTCTGTTCATGACCATGAGGACAGTGCACAGTCTATGAGATGCAGCTCCTTCACTTGTAAGAGGAGGGAAGGCAATTGTCAAATTTTGTGACTTCTCCTTCATGTTTTAAGAACAAGATAAATATGATTCCAGTGATTTCAGAAGATAATTAAAATAATCCTTTTTAGACTATAAATACAAGTAAATGCTTAAACAACTAGACTGATTTACTAGTGTAAAAGAAATAGAAACTACTGGAAATCTGCATATTCTGGAAACGCTATAATAGATTTCAAGCACAAGCTGCTAATTGTGTGACCCACATGGGTGTACCTCGTGAGGTTCTCTTGTGGTTGCCTAGTGCAGTTCATGCTGTGTAGCTTAAGTCCACTTTTCTTTTCTGTGCATTGCTACTCATTGCTAGGGGTACTCAATGCCCAGTTTCTTTCTTCAGACATGTGGTTTGAGAGCTACCTGTGCTCTTTTATCCTAACAAACTATAGCCATTTGTGTTTTTGTTTGTTTGTATCCCCCTGGTACTTGATACTGGTTATCCAAATAACTGAGTAATTACTTAGATAACATTTATTCTTGAATGAAAGCATGCTCTCTGTTTCCAAAAGCAAGGTACTAGAGCTCAGAAAGGTAGAGTAAGGAACACTGCTCAGAAAGGTAGAGTAAAGCACACTCTCTGATAGACACAGTTGTCTTAACTAGAATGTACTTTCCTGGAATGTTGTAGAATGACTGCAGATCCAGCTAACAGAACTGAATCTGTGGTATTGGGTTCAGTTGGTGAGGAAATGTACTTAGAGCTCTTTGCAACAGCAGATTATCTCAGTATTCAGTTTTGTGGACATATCTTGTGTCTTTCTTTAGCCATCCTGGGCTCCATGGTACCATATAGTGGTGCTCTCCTCATGATGACACCTCTAAAGGACTCACAGACCTACGAAGAAGGGGCTAGAGGAGATGATTCCTGAGCTTTCTGACCCAACATGCCAACATTGCAGCCTTTCCAAAGGAGCTGCCTGTCTACAAGAAATGCCCACAATGAATTTCTTCTACAGGAAATTGAAGATGCCCTCTGTGTAGTTAGGATGCAAAAACCAATTGGAAAATTCCAGTTTGATTCCATCCCAACAAATTCTTTTCACATTCATTGCACTGTGTTCTTTTTCGTTGTTGTTTCTTGCCAAGTTTAAATACAACAGAACTGTTCACTTAATTTGACTTTTTGAAGCAAATCTATGGCAATTACTCTTTCATGACTTGGAAATAGGAAGCACATTAAAAAACAGTTTGTTCTGTTCCTGGCAGGAGCTATCTACCATCCTAAAAGGATTCACAGACTACTATGCCCCTGGACTAGACTATTTGCGTGTGTTGGTCTACCAGTTTGATAAATATATCTCTCAGAAGTCAGACTAATTGCTTTGTTCAGTATAGCCTTTATTCAACTGATGTGAACAGTTTCAAATTCATCACACCCCACAGATATGCATTACTAATTTGGTTAGTTAGTTTGTTAAAAATAAAATATTGCCCAGTGGGTAAAGGCACCTGCCACCAAGCTTGGTAACCTAATTGAATTCCCAGAATAAAAGTTGATCCCTGATACCATACAGGATGCATGTTCACGCGTGCAAATGTGCACATGCATGCACACACAGTAAAAAATAAAATAGTAAGCTAGTGCAATGGTGCAGACCTGTAATCATGACAGTTGGAAAGCACAGGCAGGATAATTAGAACTTTTCAAGGCTAACTTGGGCTACATGGTGAGTCCAAAACCAATTGACTTTGCAAGGCTCTGCCTCAGAGGGGTGGAGGAAGTAAAGTATTGACTGTGATGTTGATTTTCCTTCATTATATAAAAACTGTATTATCCCTTATTCTTTGCTTTTAGGCACTACATATTGTGAGGTGTGACAGTTAATATTGTTAACTTGACAGAATCTGGAGTCACCTAGGAGGTAACTCTGTGAGCATGCCTGAGAGGGATTATCTAGACGAGGTTATTTGAGATGGGAAAACCCATGGCTATGATAGTACCATCCTATGGTCTGGCATCCAGGACTGAAGACAAAGAAAAGAAGCTGAACACTAGCATCCATCACTCTGCTTTCTGGCTGCAGATGCAGTGTGACCACCTGACTAATGTACCTGTTTCAGGGCCTAAGTAAATTCTTCCCTAAGTTGCCTTTTTCAGATATTTTGTTGCAGCAACAAGATATGACAATAATACAGATACATTTTAAAGATTACAGTCTGATTTAATATAAACAGGTTAGGTTGTCAAAAATGGATGATAGTCTAATAGCTGACATTTAAAACAGTCTTCATAAGAACCTTACAAGTTATAAGTATTATCACTATTCTTAATCTGTGTTCTGTCACTGAGATGAAGATAGTACAAATTGGTTTTTGACTGTTTTCTCAATACCATGGGGAAGTTAAAACCATAATATGATTGTATCTATATTAATTTTTACAAAATTAAATACTGTATCTAGTATTAAAAATATTGTCATTCTTTCAGATACTATAATATCTTAAACACTTAAACACCTGATTTATTAGTGTACTTTTCAATGATCCAAGTAAAAGTATATTTCATAGGAGAATAAAACAAGTTAACAAAGATGGAAGTGATGACTAAGCAGTTAAGAGCACATATACTTTTCCAGAGGACCTGGATTCAATTCTTAACACCCACACCAGGAAGCTTACAAACACGAGTCAGTTCAGCTCCAGGGAGATCTCACACCTCTGGCCTCTTCAGCAACCTGCACTCATAAGTGTGCACACACAAGGCAAATACATAAAAATAAATATTATCTTTGTCAGAAGTGGTGGAGAATGCCTTTAATCCCAGTACCCAGGATGCCTCTGACCTCTAAGCTCTAGGTCTTTTCGGTTTACATAATAGACCCTATTTCAAGCAAAACAACAACAAAATCTTAAAAATAACAGTCAACAAGTATTCTTTCTTGTAGCACATATTACTGCTATGTTTGTGAAAGACACAAGTGGTAGAAGACAATCCAAAAGTCCATCTTACTATCTACAAGAAAGTACAGATATATCATCTCATATTAATTATATCCCATTGAATGCTTATTAGTTCAGGGGTAGGCCTAACTGTGGAAACAAGGGAGGGGGGACAGAGGGAGAGAAGGAAAGCCATAGCTTGACAAACTAGAGAAACTAAAAAAAAGGGGGGAAAGTGATTTCTATATAATACACGCACACACACGCACACACACACACACACACACACACACACACACATATATATTGTACATATATGTATGTCTCTAATACCTTGCTAAGCAAGAATTTTATCTTTCTCTTTTATGCTATTGAATCATCTTAATCCTCAAAACTAGTATTCTTGGGTTACAATCATTTTGCTTTTGCACTGATGGTAACATATGACCACTCTAAGGAAGTCTTAAAAACCAATGATGTTTCCATCTCTCTCTGCTTTTCAAATTAGTCTTAATGTGCTTTTTTTCTATAATGCTTGTAGAATTAAGTCATTAGAATTAACTTGTTCTATTTTCAGTCATTGAAACTACATTCTACATCACAGTTGCTGTTATTTTGCTGGTTTTGAATGATCATGTTTGACAAAGGATACAGTTAATCCACGTATATGGGTGCCCTATGTATCCCTTGCCATGCCTGTTACATGGAAAACTCCCAGTGCTTAACACTCAAAAATAGAAGCAATGGAATATTAGACTTTGTTAGTCTGACCTATCTGTAGATAGCTATAATGAAGAATACATGTGCTTCAATTGCTCTGGTGAAGTTTAGATAGTATAGATTGACAACAGCATTCTCATTTTTTAGCACAGAAAAGTTTGACATCCTGATCTTCAGAACAGCGTTCATGAGCTTGTGATAGCATGTGGAAAATTGCTGTATCTAACTCCACATGAACATCATCATCTCAATAAGAAAAGAGCTCAGTTGAACCAGATTACTTGGGACAAAATCTGGATACCCAAAAATACCAACTCAGAAATGTTATGAAAAGAATCTACAAAATTGACTATTTTAATTTTAAAACATGGTGCTAAAACTTACATTTACTTCTTTATGACTCATTAAGTCACTTTCTGCTACACACAACTGCTCAATAATCTTTTGCCCTTCTCCTGGACTCTATTCTAGTGTCTAGGCTCTGTCATACACTCTTCTCCCATGTAAATACACATAGCTAAAAGTGGGAAGTTTGGATGTGGTAATGAGAGAATGTGGTGGTCACCTTTCTCAGCCTGGATCACAAAAAGGGAAATAACTCTTAACAGTTTTTATTTTTGTCTTATTATGTGTCCAGTTCAGTTTGCCACAGGCTTTTGGGAAGTATCTCACACTTCTTCAGCACTGCTACATATGTTCTGACCTTTCCTCTTTTCCTTAAACTGGACTAAACCAAATCACCTGCCTTGCATCGTTATGAAAAGTGGACCAATCAAAACACTTTTAAAAGTACCTTTGGAAGTGAAGCTTGTCCCTGTGCTAGAAGCTAGGCTGTAGGTGGGACCCCTTCCCTCTAGACAGTGTCACAGGTTACAGGCCTGTCATGTTCTCTCAGCTGGTGCCCGAGGAAAACCTCCTTTGCACATTCACATATCTTCTATCTCAACAGATAGAGCCCCTTGGGCACAGAACAAAAGGTTCCTTTTGTCCCAAGGCTGGGCTTTGTTCTATCTCTTTCAGAGCAGTATCTACTCCTTCTTAAAAACTGTCTAAAATATCCTCAGGCATGCTTTCTCATGTTATTCTATTATTTGGCCTTGACAAGGCCAGCAGTTATTCCACAAAGAACTTGTGCAACATACCTACCATACTGAAAAAGGCCAAAGTCATTGGCCTCCCAGCTCAGGGCCTTTCCATTGCTTTCCAAATAATGATGTCTGGAAGCTGGAGTGAGGAATGGATGCAATTAGTAAGTATTGTTCATACATTTATTTTCTCCCTCCCTCCCTCCCCCCTTTCCTCCCTCCCTCCCTCCCTCCCTTCCCTCTCTCCATTTCTCTCTCTCTCTCTCTCTCTCTCTCTCTCTCTCTCGTGTGTGTGTGTGTGTGTGTGTGTGTGTGTGTGTGTGTGTGTGTGTGTTGTATATGATTTGGTGAAGTTGAAGTTTGGGGGATGTCCTTTTGTATATATGTTTATCTTATTGCTTGATGAATAAAACACTGTTGGTCAATAAGACAGGAAGATAGGCGGGATGAGGAGATGAGGAGAATTCTGGAAAATAGAGGTAGAGAGGCACCATGGACAGTTGCCATGTAGTCAGTCGACAAAGGAGTAGAAAGGCTAGACATTCTCTGGTAAGCCAAGACCATGTGGAAATACATAGATTAATAGAGATGGGTTAATAATTGAGACAGAGCTAGCCAATAAGAAGCCCTAGTCATTAGCCAACAGTTTTATAATTAATATAAGTCTCTGTGTGTTTATTTGGGGCTGAGAAGGGCGGTGGGACCAGGCTGGACAAGAAAACCTCAGTAACAGAAGTTGATTCTTTCCTTCCACCATGTTGGTTCCAGATATGGAATTCAGTATGTCAAGCTTAGCAATAGGCACCTTTACCAACTAAGTCATCCCACTAGTCCAAAAGGTGTCTTTCTGTGGTGCTTGCTTTTATTTTTTAAATTGGAACTTCTTTGTTATCTAAATGATATTTTTTGTCATCTCTATTATTGTCTGTATGTTGTTTCAGTATGTCAAAGAGCATATTCTTTAATGAATAGAAGTTCCAGGGTAAAGAATAATGAGAAATGTGTATTGGTGCATGCCTTTAATCCAAGTCCTGGGGAGGCAGAGGCAGCCAGATCTCCTGAGTTCAAAGCTAGCCTGGTCTACAGAGTGAGTTCTAGGGTAGCCAGCACTACACAGAGAAACCATGTCTTGAAAAAAAAAAGCAAACAAAAAAGGATAGAATAAAGTAGGTATTAAAAATATGTGGTCTTTCAGTTCCATATCCATTTTCTCTAAAGTACCTTCTCATAACACATCGAAGGTCATTCATTTGGTATTCACATAAAGGACTTAAGTATATTGAAAAATGGAATACAGTGCATAAATTAGTAACAGACATCAGATGAATCTTAAGATGCAAAAAATAGTCTTTTATAAAGTTCAGTGTCCCTTCATGATGAAATCCCTGAAGAAACAAGGCATAGGAGAAACATACCTTAACACAATAAA